TTATTGAATAAGAAATTTAGTCTAGTTATGGTTACACCATAAAAAATACGAGAAGTCAGTAGAATAGTTATTAAAACATCAAATAAAGTTGTTTACCAAAAAAAAAAAAAAAACATCAAATAGAGTGAAAGAAGATTGCGTATATTACTGTAGTTCTAATAACAACTTCTACTACAGTATATCACCAACCAATGCCTCTTAAATTGTACCTCTCTAAGCGTGCATTCTCATCAAGTTTCCCATTTTGGAGCATTAGTGAAGGAAACTTCCTAAGGCCAATAAAGAAGAATGGATGATGTTACTTTATGGGTCATTGGATTTATTCGTGTCTAAGAAGCCAATTCTATCCATAAATTTTATTGTTTGTGTCTGCATGCTCCTTGTCGTAATTTCCTACAATTTCTTTGTAAATTAATTAAGTTGCCCTCACTTTCTCATTATTTTCTTCGAGCCTCTCTGTGTGTATGATATCAAGAAACCCCAATTCTTAGGTCCTAGCAATAATATTCTCAAATACAAATACCCATAGAAATTTCTAACGAAGTTGGGCCTTAGGATTACTATTAGGAGCCAAAAGAATAAAATGAAGCAAGGAAGTGGGTCAACCTTAAACACTTTTTCTCCCTGGTCGAGCTTTCAAATTATATATATATATATATATATATATATATATATATATATATATATAGGATCCTTTGACACCAGTATCAAATTTGAAATTTGACACTTCATCTGAGAGCCATTAGATAAAAAAAGATCAATGATATCACATGCTTACAAATCAGACTCATTGATCTTTTTTGATCTAATAGCTCTCAGATGAGGTGTCAAAGGATCATACCTCATATATATATATATATATATATATATATATATAGACACACACACTATGTGAGAACGCATTCTCCTTATCTGATTGTTAGTAATTGTCAACGGATATAGGTGATTTTGTTCTCAAGTTATTAAGGGAGTTGGTCATATCCAATTTCATTTCTTAACCACAACGAGGGGATGTCAAGGGCCCAAAATTTCAAAGCATTGAGTTTATGTTCTCACGTATATAAACTTCACTTATTCCATTATTAACTAATGTGAGACTCAATCTCATTTAAATATTCCAACAACTCTCCCTCAAGTGTGAAACTCATATTGATATGTTTTCCCTCAACGGAAGCCCAACCCCCCTCTAGCCTAACACCTAGGTAACCCAGGCCGAACCTAGCTCTGATACCATTATCAAGCAGGCTGGGGGAGCTTATGGTGAGGGACCACCATGAATGGGTTAATCTAGACCAAACACATTAAGTGAATCCAACACCATGTCTCAAATCAAAGTCTTAAGGTTTCAGATTGAGACATAGTCGCAGACCCACTAGCTATAGTTGGTGTATCTTAGCCCATTGGTGGTGGTTTTTCATTGGGTGCTTCCCTTATACCTGCCTAACACCATATTTGAAGGAGCAACTACATCATCTTTCTTTTTAGGGAGAGCTAATGCTTGATATATAATTTGGTTTGACATTGCTTCACATTCAAAAAGAAGTAAACTACTTTTGAGTAAAATCGAAATAAACTTTGATTATTAAATATGACCTCAAAATAATAAGGGTCAAGGTCGACAAGTAAAATGATGGGCATAAACCGTATCGTTAGGAGGGGAACTGGCCAAATCACCAACTAAGGCCCCTAATTGCATGGCAGCACAGTAACAAAGGAGGTAGAGGTGCAAAGACAACTAGGTTGTTTGCCTACAAGCAACATGTCATAACCCAAACTTGAGTCATGATCGACACAAAGGTTTAATTTAACTTTATCACCTGTTCGACATAATTACCTTGGAAAGCCTAATTATCAACATAATAAATTTAGGTTTATCAAAACTTACAAATCCAAATAATAGAAAAATGAAGCAACTCTATAGGGTTGTAAATGAGTCGGACTAAGTCAGACTTTAGTTGTAAATAGGTCGGGCTTATGTAAAATATTTTAAGCCTAACTTGGGTGTTGGGCAAGTGGCTTCTTACACAGGATGCTTACGGAACACCTAGAGGGGGGGTGAATAGGTGTTCTAAACTTTTTCAAAAAACTTTTTCTTAGTAGATCCTTAAATCTGTAAAGTCTAGACAAATTTGAACAATTAAGCTCAATCACCACACCAACTCAACAAGATTGACAGTTATCAAATTATTTTGCAAGTTCAGTTCAGATAACAGTCACTCGGCTATAACAATTTTACTAATTTTACCTTAGATCCCTATATGCCCAAAATGATTTCTATATGATGTATATCAATAGAAAAACGTACCTGACCTTTTATTTTATAGAGAAAACGCAGCAACAAGCTTTCTTACTCAAAACAGAAAAGAAAATTAATTTCCAAATACTAGAAAATAGTTTAAGTGCTACAGCAATTATATCAGAACCAGTAAGGTGCTACAACACTCTAAAAATATACTAGAAAGCTGCTACAATACTTTCAAACAAGAATTAGTGTAACTATGAGTCTCTAAACAGAATATTCAGAAATTAAATCAGAGAGACAAGAGACACACGATATATTCTGGTTCACACCCACTAAGCCTAAGTAGGGTTCTACGTCCAGACTAAAGTCGCTGCAGATATTTTATTTACCACAAGTGTATCTGTTTTACAAACACATGTCAGACAAGCAATCAAACAAAATATCAAAAACTTTCCTAGTGCCTACACTGCTCCAAGCTTTGAGAATACTCTCAAGCCGAACCTACGGAGTTCACCAACTCCTCTCACACAAGATCTCCACTCTCCCTAGTGGATTCTTGAGGCTCTAGGCCTTGAGACACACTCTCAAGCCAAGCACAAGGTTGCCAACCTACTCGGTTGCACCCACTCACCTAGGACAAATTTTACACACACGTGCACTTCACTTTAAACAAACAATACAATATCTCATGTTTAAAACAGAAAATTTATCAACCTATTACAAAGTCCTATCACACTTGATATATCAAATAAGGCACAAAAACAAGCTCCTAAATGATATGATGTATGCAGAAAATTTAGAGCACAAGTATATGTATCACAAACTGCAAATTTAAGCAATAAGGAACTTGTATTTATTAATATCAAGTATCTAAATAATGGACACTAAAAATTCAGATTTAAACAGAAACTATCACACTATATCCAGAAAATTCAGATTTGTAATTGCTCTCAAAATTTCACAAAAAATTCAGAATTAGTTCTAGATAAATCTTTTAGTAATAAACCAGAAGAAATCTGAATTTTAAGCACAATATACCACAATTAAAACAGAAAATTCAGATTTAATATTCCAACTATAAAATTTCTAGAACAATTCAAGATTAGGCTTCTAAACAGTAAATCCCAAACAAAAATCTGAATTAACACAATGTATAGCAAGGTATAAAAAACAAATTCAGATTTAATATTTTTAAATGATCTTTCACAAAAATTTGAAACACAAATCTTACATAAAGAGCATCAAGATTTCTATTATTTTCACTTAAAATCAAAACAGAGAAATTTGAATAGTCACAATGTACCAAAATAAAATAAAAAACAGAAAATCAATTCAACAATATCAAGTCTCAAGAATATACCAAAGGATGCTCAAAATAAGGATTAAAACTTTACCTCAAGAAATCTCAAATTTTCAGCTAATTAAAACAGAAAATGTGGTTAGGGTTCTTCAACCTTAGTTCCAAGAATCTTGAATTACTTGTAGAATCATGAACAACACTCCAAATCACCCAATCTTGACTCAGAAATCAATCAAGAGACTCATCAACAGTGGTGCACTTTGTTTAGAGTTGAAGAAGATAGAAATTGTTGATGGAAATTTGAGAATTTTTTGGAGGAAGATGAATATAAGGTGTTGTATCGAACACTCACACATATTATTTTGTGCAGATTGAAGATGAAAGAATGAACAACAATTTTTCAGAGATGAGGAAGTGAGCTCTGTTTTCACGCGATAATATCAGAGAGAAAGAATGCTTTTCTAATCGCAAGCCTGTGAATTGAATTTCAAAAAATGATTCTTCTATGTTTTTATTATTATATAGTATATAGCTTTTAAAGAAAGCTGAACTATGACAGCGTTGGAAAAGTCAATTGGTAAAACAATATTTTATATATTAAAACCAAAAGTATATATATATATATATAAATCAATCAACGTAACCAATGCGAAAAGAACGCTGTAGACGTAGATTTAGTTTCATTTCTTTATATATATTACTTTTACTTTTTTTAGTTTTTATTAAAATATATTTTTAATTGACTTGGGTTTTATTTTAAAGACCTATTCATTTAATTTTTTAATAAGTCACTCAACATAGCTAAGCAATGAAATGCAATGATATGCAATGGAGCTTGAAATCATGCTTAGTGATATATCTAATGTGTTACAATAAATCTAAAAATTATCTAGCCCGAAACTTTAGCATCTTCAAAATGAGTTCTTCATGCTTTGACATCATCAAAACCATCTAGGCATAATCTACTTGAATTTAAGAGGTCCTTCAATCTCTCCTTTTTTTATGATGGCAATATTTACTCAAATTGAGACAAAATAAAGGTTAGTAGCAAAGGTTAGATAACATGTAATATTACAACTTTAAAATTTCTTTAAGCTCCCCCTATCAATATGCATAAGCTCAATTTGACATTCATTTACCATATTTTCTCCCCTTTTGACATTATCAAAAATAATAGTATATAGCAAGGATACATGTTGGATAAGGCATATAACAAGCGTATGATCATATATCCAAAAATTACCCATGTTTTGTACCAAGTTTTGATTCTTTGCAATTTTTGGGCTTATTTAAGAGGTCCGTCAATTTGCTAGCATCTTCAATGAAATCTTCATATTTTGATTCATTTCCATTATCTCTCAAATACCTACAACATCATCTTCCACACTTACCTTTTTCGGCACATTAGCAAGATCAAGCATTTATCAAATAGTACAAGTAATTGCAATGAAAGATAACTCATTTATGATTGCTAATAGGCATTATTTGTGAAAGATACATTGAAACAGGCTTGCTGTCCTATTTGGATAGAATTGAGTATAAGAGTAAAAACAGGGAATTTTTCAACTATATAGGCATGTAGTGCATGAAGTAAGTTTTCTATCTACATATAGATCATTAATATTGAACATGTATAATATAAGATGTGTTAAAAACAGTGTATGCATGTTATATTAAACACCAAACAACAACTAGACATCATGTGCAAAATGATTTATCAAATAAAACAGTCCATGGAACATGATGCATACATGCTCACTAAGTTTTCTTAGGAACATATATCATGTTCTTAACCTTGGGGCTAAAGAACATGCTAGATGTGTTAGATGTTGAGGCAATGTTGCCCATATTTATAGTCCTCTTAGGAACCCACTTAAGATTAGTTCCTTTTAGGCCATATTTCTTAATATTGCATTGATATACAAGATGACCACTCATGCAACAATATGTACATTTCTTAAATGGTAGTTTATACATGAACCTAGGGGGATAATGATTTGTCTTTCTTAGTTGAGCAAAATGAGGTTTTTGAAAACCAAGTCCATATTTAGTAGATTCAACCCTTTGTCTACCAAGGAGGACATTCAAGTTGTCTATCCCACTAGTCATTCTATCAACCATTATTTTTAATCTATCCACTTCATTAGATAATTCAACACATTTAGCACATGAAATAATGGAAGGAGGATTCACATCATCACAAGATCCAACAAGACAATTCATAAAAACATTTTCATTTTTAAGATTCTAATTGTCTTTCATTAGATCATTTACAATGGTTGTCAAACTATCAACATTGTTTTGCAAGTTATTTTTCTCCTTTTTAATTTTCTCAACCTTAGAGGTTAATTTTTCATTTTCAATTTGCAAGCATTTATACGCATATAATAGATCATCATAAGATGGACCAATCATAGAAGAAGTATCACATGAACTAGTGTCACACATAGAGTTAGAATCATTGCATGAACTACTATCACATAAAGAGTTAGAAGAGTGACAAGAGTATACATCGGTATGTTCATCCTCTAGATTTTCCATTAAGCACAAGTTTGCTTTTTCACTACTTGAGGAGCTTGATGAGCTTGATGAATCATCCGAGAATGCCATGTAGGCCTTCTTTTTCTTTTTGCCTTTACCTTTCTTGAATTTGTCGTTGTCGTATTTATTCTTTTTGTTAGGGCAATCCTTTTGGAAGTGGCCTTCCTTTCCACACTCAAAACAAGCATTGTTTGAGTTTGCATTGCTTGAATTATTGTCTTTTCTTCTTTGGCCAGCATCTCTTCTTCTCCTTTTGTTGAACTTCTTGTTGAAGAATTTGGTGAATGACTTGTTAAATTTTTTCACAAACATTGTCATTTCGTCGTCTTTATCGGTGCCTAAATCATTTGATGATGTATCAGTACTTTTCTTACTTTCCTTTGAATGAGATGATGATACCTTGAGAGCTAATCCTTTTTGTTTCTTCTTGTTAAGCTCACGGTTAGCCCTTCTGTTTAACTCCAACTCGTATTCCTGAAGCTTTCCAAATAAGGTAGCAATGGACATTGTGGAGAGGTCTTTAGCTTCATAGATTGCTGAAGCCTTTGCATCTCATTCCTTAGTAAGACATCTCAGAATTTTGTTAACTAACAGTTCATCATCATGAAAAATATTTAAAGCATTCATTGATGTAACTATATGCATGAAACGTTTTTGCTTGTCAAATATAGATTCACCCTCATGCATCTCAAAGAACTCAAACTCTCTAGATAATGCATTTTGTTTATAACGCTTTACTTCACTAGCACCTTCATGGGTTGTTTCTAAAATAAGCCACATCTCATGTGCAGTCTTACAAGAAGATACACAGTAGTATTTGTCTTTGCCAAGTGCATTAACTATTAAGTTTTTTGCTTTTGAGTTGTATTGGGCTCTCTCTAATTCTTCTCTAGTAAAATCTGTGTGTTTTTAGGCACAGTTATTCCATTGTCATCTACTGTGGTTGGAAGCTGATATCCTTCCTCTACACTATACCAAATTTTAAGATCTACCGACTCAAGAAAAATCTGCATCCGAGTTTTCCAATAGGGATAATCAATCCCATTGAAAAACGGAGGACGGTTGGTGGAACCACCCTCAAGAGGAATATCCTGATGGAAAGAAGCCATAGGATCTTTAACTCTTTGGCAATGGCCAATCACTCAGAGCACGAAGCTCTGATACCGCTTGTTGGGCAAGTGGCTTCTTACACAGGACACTTACGGAACACCTAGAGGGGGGTGAATAGGTGTTCTAAACTTTTTCAAAAAATGATTCTTCGATGTTTGTATTATTATATAGTATATAGCTTTTAAAGAAAGCTGAACTATGACAGCGTTGGAAAAGTCAATTGGTAAAACAATATTTTATATATTAAAACCAAAAGTTTATATATATATATATATATACATATATATAATCAATCAACGTAACCAATGTGAAAAGAACGTTGTAGACGTAGATTTAGTTTCGTTTCTTATATATATATATATATATATATATATATATATATATTACTTTTAGTTTTTTTTAGTTTTTATTAAAACATATTTTTAATTGACTTGGATTTTATTTTTAAAGACCTATTCATTTAATTTTTTAATAAGTCACTCAACATAGCTAAGCAATGAAATGCAATGGAGCTTGGAATCATGCTTAATGATATATCTAATGTGTTACAAGAAATCTAAAAATTATCTAACCCGAAACCTTAGCATCTTCAAAATGAGTTCTTCATGCTTTGACATCATCAAAACCATTTAGGCATAATCTACTTGAATTTAGGAGGTCCTTCAATCTCCCCCTTTTTTATGATGACAATATTTTCTCAAATTGAGACAAAATAAAGGTTAATAGCAAAGGTTAGGTAACATGTAATATTACAACTTTAAAATTTATTTAAGCTCTCCCTATCAACTTGGGTTGTTAACCTAGCAAAAAATAAATTATAGGTTAAACCTAACTTGTTTTTAAAAAATACAAGAGTTGACTCAATCTATCAAGCTTACAAAATCTTCAAAAATGACATATTACACTCGGGAAAATATAGATTGTGATTATTTTATTTCTATTGTATATTTAAGTTAATGAAAAATTGAAGCAGTACAATAACTAAAGTCAGACCATAACATATTGATTGTTTAACTATTTATCTAGAAATAAAAAACAAAATCATGCCAAGGATGTAAAAAGTTTAATTAATTTTTTTTTAAAAAAATATTCACTCAGTCATGCATTACATAAAATAATTAGGTTAGAGGAAACATAGGAGTCTAGGAGGAGGTTAGAAAATTTAAAAATCATAAAATATTATTTCATTAAAAAATAATAAAATAGTATTTTATCCAAATATAATAAAATATTATTTATTAAAAATACAAGTTGAGCTTGGAGGCTTGGAGTCTAGGCCTCTTAAAACATGTTTGTGGACTGATTTTTAAGTTAGCATTTTAATATGTTCAAATCTATACTATTTTTAAATAGGTCAGGCTAAGTCAAATCAAAGATATACCAGGTTATAGACCCTTGACAAGTTATTTAACCATTTACAGCCCTACATCTCTATATTAATGATCTAGAAGGCATCTAAATGAAATGTATAATAAACAAATTAACACATAACAATTGTCTAAACGGACAATGTGTTGGACTGATCAGTAATAATAACCAAAAGAAACTTCCTCAACAAAATTGAAGGAGTGGAATCAAAAGTCAACTATTTGAGTTTATCTACAAAAACAAAATATATAATTCAATCACGGTGGTGAGTTCCAATGCAACTTAGTGAGCAAATAAAAAAATTATAACAAATAATATTAGGCAACATACAAATATTGTATTTAAATCAAATTGTAAAGGTGATAAATTCTCAAATTTAGATTTTTACCAAATCATTTTATATGCATAATCAAAACCAAAAATTTGTCAAATAATACATGAATAAAATCCAATTTTAAAGATAAATGTTTTTTGTAAAATCCAAATCAAATTATTTCTACAAATTAGAATTCTATATTTTATTAAAATAGTATATGCATTTAAGTGAAGATTTAATTAGATGTGACTACGTACACCATGACAATCTCAGACTCTTTGCTTGAGAATATAACAATATCAAACTAACCTTCTAAATAAATCAATAACAGACTCACACCCATTATGTTGCACCGACACGAGACATGACATGATACGATATTTTGATACATTAATTTTAAAAAATATTAAATTTCAACATGTTAGGACGTGTTTTGATATTAAATAATATTTTTAATTTATGTAGTGTATATTATATTTAATATTCAATAATTTAACAAAAAATGAAACTAAACTTATAATATCCATCAATTTTGCCAAAAAACATAAACAATCAAATTGTAAATCTCTTATACACTACAGTGAAATTTATTCGGTATCAAGTTTTAATTTTTATTATATCAGTTTGATAAAATATCAATCAATTTTTCATGATATGTAATGAAATTTTAAATATTATAGATGACGGAGCATGTCAGAGTGTCAAGGAGTGTCGGACATGGCACTTTAGATTTTTTGAAATGTCAGTGCAACATAGTCCACCCGTAAATAAGTCATGATTCATCAATACTAACAGCTATTGTGAACATCCTATTTTGACAGAATCTACTCTCATTTTATTTTATGATTTTTTGATAAAAATAAAATAAATATAATATGCATATATATGTGTGTGTGTGTGTGAGGTTATAGTTACTACTTCTTATTACTAAATCTTAATCATTGATTTCCATTAATGTAACAGTTGTAATTTATTGGGTCATACTTATTAATTAATTATTAACTTCCAATAAATTAATTATAACCGTTAAATTGACGAAAATCAAGGGTTACGATTTGGTAGTAAGAGGTAGTAAGAAAAAGAGGTAATAAATATATAACCTCTCCCTATATATATATATATCCCCCATTTTTTTGTGAAATTTTCTAAAGGCTAAGAAAAGTATAACATGAATTTTTCTTTTTTTCTTTAACAGAATTTAATTTCTCAATTATGTATTGAATTTGCTACTTTTAAGGTGAGAATTAAAAATAAAAATAAAAAAATAACAAAAATTAAAACATCCACATCTTTTTAATCTTCAGTGTATGATTGAAGGGGGTGGTACTTAAAATCCCTGAAAGGAGTCTCTGCACTAAAACCTAAATGGTTTCTTGCATAATTGGAGAGGACGAGTTTCCTCCATTCCTTCTCCTTTGAAATAGTGAGATTCTGGATATATCCTACATAACAAATACTCTCGTCAATGGTTACATGAAAAAGAGAGGACATGCTTCGTTGAAAAGGATATCTCCTTAATTTCTTTTTTTTGAAAACCAAAGGAAATAAAGAAAACTAAAGGGCCTCTAGCAAATCTAGGCCAACCCACCCCTCTCAAGTCACTGTCCAAAACACCCATACATCCCTCCGCGGGAGAATCAAACAGACTAGTATCCCAATCTAAAAAAGTAGCAGCATTAGCCATCCAATCGGCTACTTTATTCCCTTCTCTAAATATATGGACATATTCTACCTGCCAATCTCTATGATTAAACTAAACTACCTTGTTAATCAAACTCACAAAAGGATGACTGTCTGAAACTCCATCCTTGATCATGTTGATAGCCACCTGGGAGTCCTCTTCAATGATGAGTTTCCTAAATCCAAGGTTCCATGCAGTTTGGAGACCAACTAGAATTCCCTAAATCTCAGCTTTCACAGCACTGCAAGCTCCCAATTTTTTTGCAAAACCCATCTTCCACATACCATCTCCATCCCTCAAGACTCCACCACACCTCCTTGCCCGACATATCTTTTGGATGATCCATCAATGTTCACTTTAATCCATCCAATAGGAAGGGGGAATCCATCTCACTACCAGTTCACATCTGCCAACAGCCTGCAAGCCAGCTTTCCTATACAAGTTTTCAGCTTCTGCAAAATTTGACCAGTAAATATAAGCCAATCTACCTGTACCTCCCTCACTAGGCCTTTCATTCTCAAATATTAGCTTATTTCTTTCCTTCCATATGAACCAACAAACTATGCCAAAAAGGATACTACCATTAAAACCTCCTAGCAATCCCTTCTTCGGGTCCAGATTAGTTGACAACCAGGAATGCAGAGAAGATGAAAAAAACTCAGGCCACATACTTTTATTGACTAAATCATTCCAAACCTTCCTAGACCAAGGGCAGTCTCTCATTACATGAAGACAACATTCAGGCACCTCTTGACATCTGGGGCAGAGATTGGAGCTAGCAAGGTGCCTCTGAACTCTTCTTTGATTGGTGAGGAGCATCTCTCCAAGGAGAAGCCAAAGAAAATATTTGACTCTCGGTGGACCTCCCCCCAGATCAAGTTCCAATTCCCTGGATTAAGAGCAACAACTTCCTCACAAAGAGAATTATAAGTAGATTTGGTGGAAAAGCTTCCATCCTGGGTGTGACCCCATATCACCATGTCCTCTCCAGCGTCATGGTTTTGAGGGCAAGACCCAGCTAAGAGATTAAGGGCTTCTTAATTAAGCAAGGGGCTGAAGTCCTGCCATCTCCACTCCCCATTAGCATTCACCATATCTACTACCTTGGCTTCAAGAAACTCTACAAGGATCTCTTGGATGGTATGGTCCCTAAGAGGTCCAATTTCTAGCCATTTATCATCCCAAAAAGAACTCTCATTCCCATTACCCACCATGATTCTGGACCCTTCATACACCATAGGCCAAACTCGAGCCAAGCCTATCCACAAGTTAGAGCCACCAGACCTCCTAGGCAGATTCATGATCAAGCCATCTCCCACTTTATATTTATTCTTTAAGACTCTCACCCATAAATCATTCTTATGGGTCAGAATCCCGTGACCAATCTTCATTAAGCATGCTTTATTCATCAATCTCAACTTCCTTATGCCCAGCCCACCATCATTTTTACTCCTACAAATCACATCCCAAGGAGTGACATGTATTTTCCTTCTCCCCATATTGGAACCCCAAACAAAGCCTCTCATTTTCTTCTCAATTGCATAACAGGTGCCTAAAGGGAGCAAGGCAGTTTGCATTGAATAAGTGGGCATAGCAGCCAGCACTGATTTTGTAGTCTTCTCCTTCCAAGCCTTCAGTCTACCATTAGTTCTATCTAAAGTGTAGCTGAAAGTGTGCTTATTGACCATATTGTGAAGAACAGGGACACCAAGGTACTTACCCAAGTCAACTGAGATGTCAAAACTCATAATACTGCTCAGTTGCCTCCTTTTAGTGTGATTCACATTCCTTGAAAAACAACACTTAGTTTTGCTGTAACTAATTTTCTGACCAGAAGCCAAGCAAAACCGATTCAAAATATTTGAAATCAGGTTAGCTTGATCCCTATTGGCCTCTGAGAAGATTAAGAGGTCATCAGCAAAAAAGAGATGAGATATTGGTGGGCCCTGCTTCCCCAATTTCACCGGTTTCCAATCCTTCCTCTCAACTGCAGAATTGATCAAATGTCCCATTCTTTCTATGCATAAAACAAACAAGTATGGAGATAGAGGGTCTCCTTGTATAATCTCTCTCACAGGTGAGAACTCTTCTGTTGGACTCCCATTCCACAAGATATTTATAGAAGAAGTTGTAACACAAGCCATTATTAACTCCACCAAGGAACTAGCCATCCCAATTAGCACCAAAGTCTCCTCCAAGAAAGACCAACTAACCCTGTCGTAAGCTTTCTCTAAATCTACTTTAACAGCCATCCAACCTTTTTTGCCTTTTTTAGATCTCATCGAATGAAAAATCTCCTGGCTAATGATAATATTATCTGAGGCATGCCTACCCTTCACAAAACTGCATTGGTTTGGCATAATAATAGCACTCATGTGGTTCCTCAATCTAGAAGCTACCAGCTTGGTTACCCCTTTATATATCACATTACAGAGGCTTATAGGCCTAAATTGACTAACCAACTCTGGATTATCAATCTTAGGAATTAGACAGATCAGAGTCTGGTTAATGCTTTCCACCTTCCTGGGGTCTTCAAAAATCTGAATTATAAAATTAGTAACAGACTCCCCTACCTTATCCCATTGAGTATGCAAAAACACAGCATGCAAGCCATCAGCTCCAGGAGCTTTATAAGGTTGCATCTTAAAGAAGGTGCTCCTTATTTCCTCCCTACTAGGAATATCACCAATTCTCCTCCACAGATAATTATCAATAACAGGAAAATAATTGACAACACTCCCACTCTGAAGAACTTGACAGTCTTCCATATACAAGTCCTTAAAGAACTTGATAACAAGAATTTTCAACTCCTCCAAATTCTCCTCCCAACTTCCATCCTCCTTTCTAAGGGCCCTAATCTTGTTCCTCCTGGCCCTTGCTTTGGTTGCTGAGTGATAGAATTTAGAATTTCTATCCCCAAATGCCAACCAATTACTTCTAGACCTTTGGTACCAGGTAAGCTCCTCCTGGACATAAATTGCATTCAGCTCCTACCACAAAGCTTTGTGCAACCTCTCTAAGGATTCATCTGGGCTCCTGTTCAGCTCAATGTCCACTCCTCTGATCCTCTTTTGAATTTGGAACTTCTTTCTCTATTCGGCTTTAAATACATTTTTATGCCAGATAGAAGCTTCCACTTTAAATTTTTCTTTAGCCGAATTCCAATTAGCATTTCTATCCCAGTAGTCAACCACCACATCATTGAAGCTGCCAACAATCATCCAAGCTGTCATAAATCTAAATGGCTTAATACCACCAGAGTCTCCATCCAGCAAGTCATCTTTCAGGACAATTGGTCTATGGTCAGATCCATGGAAATGGATATAAGAAATGGATCTGTTGGGGTATTCCAGAAGCCAATTGTCATTAACCACCAATCTATCTAACCTTTCCTGTAATCCACCTCTTCTCCAAGTGAATTTAGGACCAGTGTAACCCAAGTCAGAAAGCCCACAATCACTAAGGTAGTCCACAAAGTCTTGGACACTCCCCCAATTCACTACAGCACCTCCTTGTTTATCTCCCTGCTCCACATAGGCATTGAAATCACCCATAATTGCCCATTTCCCATCTTCATACCCAGCAATTCTCCCCAAGTTCTCCCAAAGCACTTTCCTCTCGAGCCATCTAGGACTCCCATAAACAAATGTAATTTGCTCTTCATCTCCAGATCCCAACCAACACAATTTAGTATGCACATATTGGTGGTCCTCTTCTAGAATATGCACCTCAGTCACCAATTTGTTCCAAAGGATCCAAATACCTCCAGAAAATCCTATAGCTCCTCTTAGAAAAAACTATCGAAACCTAAACTTCTAGCAATCCGATCAGCCTTGGATCCACTGATTTTGGTCTCCAAAAGCACCAGAACCTGAATCATATTCTGGTAAACAAGATCTTTAATAAGAGTGGAGAACCCTTTTTTCCCCACTCCTCTACAATTTCATGTACAGACTATCATAAAAATAATAGACTAAGAGAGGACACCATACCTGCTACACCAGCTCAGAAGTTCTTGGTCTCCCCCCCGTAGCATTTGTTATGTCATCCAACACCATGGCTTCTCTCACATCAGGAATCACCAACTTCCCACCATCCCCTCCATCTAGAGGTTTTTCTTTCAGACCAGACTTCTGCAAGGTTGTAATGTCTACCCTGCTACTATTAGGTCCATCCGAGCCTCCCTCACCAGGATCCATGCATGAGCTGGCTGCTTTCTCACCACGATTTCCCACCAGATTAGGATACTTGTTCACAAGAATTGCTTCTCTCCCAACCTGAACTTTGAACACTCTTTTGGTTTGTCCTATGGAGAGAGAGTTACCCCCTTTCTTAATCGGTTTGGAGACTTCTCCTCCTTTTGCTTGCAGATACAGAACACTATCCCCATTATTCTTCTTCTTCCTCCCACCTTGGACCCTTTTCTGGTTACCTGAATCCCCAACTGACTTCCCCTTACTGCCTTCTAAACCAAGCTGAGCTACAGTAGGATTTGGACTACCACCTCCATTGTCTTCCTCTAAAGGTCCAAACCTAGAGCCTTGAACCTTCTGGGGATTAAGCCAGATATTTCTGGCTCTACTTTCATCTTTTCCACCAATGATTCCTTGGTTTTAAGATTCTGAGATGGCTTTTTGATCGTCCTTCTCTAGATTGTCATCCAAGTGCCAAACCCATCCACTTCTTGGCTCCTTTCCACATCCTTTCCCTGATTAGTTCCCTCCTGGGCCTGAACCTTATGGTGACAGGTAGCTTCCTCACTAGCACCCCCTTCCGCTTTCTTCATATTAGCCGAGTTAAAAGAGCATTGGTCTCTTCTATGCCCATATTGTCCACAAAGGAAGCAAATTAGGTACAATCCTTCATACCCTATATAGAGTTGCCTCTGACCGATTCTGAATTTTGATAGTAAGCTCTTACCCAAGTCAATTTCAACACAAATGCGGGCAAATCTGCCTCTGTCCGTTATCTCCTCAAGCTGACCTTGACCGCTTATCCTCAAAGAATTTTCATCAATCCTCAAGGTACGACCCACCATATTACCCATTCTCCACAAATCCTTGTGTGTGTAAAACTCCCTTGGAACTCCTGGTATCCTTATCCAAACCGCCATTTTCTTGACCCTATCATCATAAGGATCAAAATTAGGCCTCCATCTTTGGACAATAAGGTAATGATCAGCTACGATCCAAGGTCCCTGTTGCTGGACAAATAGAGTCCTGCACTTTCTCAAATTCGACCATGTAGTTATCATTCTCCAGATCAAGCACTTTATACTCCCCTTCCAAATTCCAAAGCCGGTGTAGTCTAAACCACAGAAACTTAGCTCCTAATCTCTTACCCATCAGCTTGACAATAAGTGTCTTTCTCCACCTCTTGCATTGTTCCAATTTTTCCAGCACATCAAACTGGTAAAATGGATTCAGTGGATCGTCCTCACCTACTTGCTCGTAAGCTTTCAAGGCTTCTTCATCTTCCAGATCCTCCCTTTTGCACTGCGCAAGCCAGTCCTCCTCATCTTCCTCAGCAATCCCATCCCAAACACCATTAACCCTCAGCAACTGATCCTTATATGAAATCAGCTTCCGAGGATCACGACGGACCCCTACATCAGGAGCATGAGTTGCATCTGCAACTTCCACGTCGATCTGATGAGACTCGTTACCCTCCTCCACCTCCATTGTGCCCACAATCAGAGGTTCACCTTGAACGTCCAGATCCATCCCCAATTCAGCCTTAGCTTTCTTCGTCTCCCTCTTATTTGAGGTTTCCCCCTCAGAATTGAGGGATCTATCCCCTCTCGCAACCATCAACCAGAAAAAACCCTAGCAGAGAACTCACAACAGAAACCACGCGCCTCACGCACTCTTTTTTTTTTTCTTCATATATCTCCTTAATTTCTCGAACATATGAAAATGATAAGTTTTGAAGAAGAAAGTGGGCATAAGATATAAATGGGGTCCTGATATTTAAAAAGGGGGAAGAAAAGCGAAAGATGGGAAGTTTCGGCTACATAAGGTTTAAAAAAAAAATTAAATACAAAGAGACAAGTCAGTGAATGTATATAAGAAAAAACCAAATCCTTGATTGGAATCACTAAGCAGAAGGTATGCTTTCTGAATGTATATCAATCCTCGAATGTTCCTCGATAATTTGCATATGATTCTATACTAGATATAGTTAGGTATTTGAATCGAATTTGCTTGATAAGTAATATATATCCATGAGATTGTTAGTAATGATTAACCGCGGTAGTCCATATATATAGATCATCTTGTATCACGATTGAAAGCCCCTGTAAAGAATAAAATGAAAAATGCGTAACATAATGAAGAGACTCTAGCCCTATTTTAATAATTCTCAAATCACCATATCATTATTCAATCTAAAATAGTATAGCATGTTATCTCAGTGTCTGTGCATCATGGTAGTCAAAATCGCAATCTAGAACGTAAGATTATGCAATTTTGCGATCTCCTCCACCAAAATCGATTCAGAACAATTGCTAGATCAAAATTTTGCAAGATTGTTGAGGATCGTCAGAGAAGATCGCGAATTGTGGTTGGAGTTTGTGATCCTGATGATCCATTTGACTTGACTTGAATGAGAGACAAGATATATTTATCACCAAAAAAGTTTATCACTCTTCTAATCAATTTAATAACAGTTATTTTCGTCAATCTAATGATTGTAACTTATTAAAAACTAATAATTAATTAATAAGTGTGACACAATAAATGTTATTAATTCTCAATAAATTATAACCGTTTGATTGACGGAAATCAACATTGATTAAATTGGTTGTAAGGGTGGTAAACTTTTTTGGTAGTAAGTTGATTTAATTCAAAAAAAAAACTTGTAACTTACCATTTAGTCGTTGAATAGAAACCCTATAGGAAGCCCCCAAACAAACCCAATCTTACATGTGATTGTGCATTTGGGTGTGCAACTACAATTTTTGTATGGTGTGAGACTACTTTCTCTGATACGCCTTGGGTCGGGTGCGATCAGGTTCTCTTCTTCCCTTTTCCAGGGTGTCTTTTTTGTGCCGTGGGGATTGCAATTTTTCTTTGGTGTGGAACTACATCTTTGCTAGTAGGGGTGTGCAAAATAACCAAAAAACTGAACCGAATCATGAACCGAACCAAACTGTCCCCTAAAATAATCGGTTTTTAAAAACCAGTTCATGAACCGAATCGATTTTTAAAGAACCAGTTCATGAACCGAACCGGTTTTTAAAACCAGTTTAAGAACCGAACCGGTTTTTAGAACCAGTTTAAGAACCGACCCATTTTGAACCGAACCAAACCGTTTCCGAACTGAACCGAACCATTTTCAAACTGAACCAAATTGATTTTTATAACTTTATTTTTAAATTTTTTTTCTTTTTAAAAGAGGGTTGACCCGAACCGATTTTGAACCGAACCGTTTCTGAACCGGTTCCGAGTCGAACCGTTTCCCACCGAACCGAACCACTTCGGAACCGAACCACTTCAGAACCGAACCATTTAAACCAATTCGGTTCGATTTTTCAAAAAAACCGGTTCGGTTCGACCCATGCACATCCCTATTTGCTAGGTTCACTTCTTCCCTGTTGCTCTTATTAGTCACGTGTGTGTTTGAGTATCTCTCCTTTTTCTCTTTTTTTTATCTCTTAAAAAAGAAGAAAAAGAATTTGAATCACTGTGGTTTTTTTTTCCTGACTTTTTCAACACCATTCAACTGGAATTAGGGAGCATTGATTTCAAATAATATCCAATGTAAGCCACAAGGCTGGGCTCAAGTTCCATGGCTTTCATGCTTCCTGGTTACGATGCCTACTGATACCAGTAATGCAGCTCGAGAAACACACATTGTGACTCGAATTCGAGTATGGATAGACATGGACTGACAATTCAAACTCATTGACATCTACAGAGAAGAAAACTGTAGCGCTGATTAGCTCGCTAACTATATGTTATGATACCCCATTGACATCCCCTATAAGACTTCCCCCGAGTACCTATTAGGTTAAGTAACTTATTTCTAGCGGATTTCTCGTATGTGAATAGAATTCGCAACATTAGATTCTCTTGTTTCTTTGTTATGAACACAATAAATAAAAATGAGAATTTTGTTTTATTCAGAAAGCCTAACTCAAATGATTTTATTGAAGAAGTCTAACATCTCTTGCACAGTGTGTCTTTTGGGATAATTTTTTTTATCTTATATGATAATTTTTATTCTAAGATTTAAATAGATAATATGAGTCAACCATAAAAGTAACTATCCACTAATTAACATCAAAAGACCCCACTAATAACAAAACAAGAAAAATAACTATCCACTAATTAAACAACTCAATAATTCAGAAAATAATTAAATAACATAAATAAAATCATAACATTCTTGCCTATTTTATTCACAAAAATAAAGAGTTGGGAATGAATACCCCAAGCTTATGAGTAAAGTAAAGAGGGTGAACTTACCAATTCATAACGAGGGAAATATTATTATTTTTTTTTTTTTATGTTTTGGAAATAAATTATATTATGTTGCTGAAATAAAATTTATAAATGGACTCATAAATAATTGGAGAGAAAAAAAAATAGAGGAGAGATCCACTTTTATTATGTGTGCATAAAAATTTAATTTATCTCGTATTGAATGATAGAAATATAACTCTTCTTAACAATTATGCCTCTTTATTTGACCATGAATAACAAATAATGGTGCTAGGATTAAGGTGAGTAAGATTTGGCAGTGGAAGAAATTTCATTGGATAATGGAAGGCTGACCCATGGCTTGAATGGATATTAAGGTAATGGTTATTGGGTTAACCTAAGTATAGATGACAATTAGCTAGGCTTGTGTCATAATTCCAATGTTTGGAAAGCTTCTTTGTTTCTTCTCTTTTTATTTTTTAATTGAAAAAATTCTTTTTTTTATCACTAAAATCAAAACAATATATGATTTTGAAAATAAATTTATTCTTTCACTAATTACATTATTTTATTAATTATTAGATGGTTATTAGGAAAATATTTTACGGGCACAAATTTTTAATATAAAATTAGTTTATCTTCATATTGAATAATACTTTATCATTTAAGTATTAAATGATTATTAATAAAAAACTTTAGGGACAAAATCTTTTAAAAAGTAAATTTGTTTTAAACTTAAATAAATAAAAGTTGAGATAGGTTATATTTATAATTTTTTTCCCATGTACTAATTTTTTTTCCTTATAACTATTTTATTATTATTACATCAAAAACAAATTAATTGTTGTTACTTGATATTATTTTATAATTCTTGATTTAACTTGATCCAACCATAATAAAATTTGAAAATGACGTAAGAGTAAGAGGTTATAAAGAAAAATAATTATAAATATAATTTTGTCCTAAAAGTATATTTATTATATATTTTAAATTAAGAGATTAATGTTTCTTATATTGTAAAAGATAATACACACATAAAAATACATAAGATTCATGTTTTTACTTTCTCAATATAACCTCGTCATAAAAGTATATTTACTATATATGTTGTGTAGGAGATAAAATTATCTATTATAATAATACAAAATATTAAACCCTTAAATTAAATACAAAATATTAAACCCTTCTTTCTCGAGAGGAGGAAAAAGTAAACAAAATAAATAAATAAAAAAACAGAATGATATATATAAAGCCTCTTCTTTCCCGCCACTACGGTATGTGTATTATGTGTATGTGTGCCCTTTCTTTCACAAAGCAGTAACACTCTCCGAGTCTCAGGTTGAAGAAAGACGAAGAACTGAAGAAGCATAACGCATAAAGTCATAAAGATGTTGTGGGTCGACAAGTATCGTCCCAAAACCCTTGACAAGGTTATGGTCCACAACGACGTCGCTCAGAACCTCAAAAAATTGGTACTTTTTCTCACTCTCTCTCTCTCTCTCGTTGTGTATCTAATCAATCAATTTGTCAATTTGTTTTTCAATTTTTTCTTTCTTTTTTTATTAATGTGTTGTTAATTCCATTGTTTCAGGTTGCGGAACAGGATTGCCCCCATTTACTCTTCTATGGTCCATCTGGCTCTGGCAAAAAAACCCTAATTATGGCTCTTCTCCGCCAAATGTTTGGACCTGGTGCTGAAAAGGTTCTATTTTTATCCTTTAATTTTGTTTTTTGTTTTTCTTGATTCTGCTGATACCCATTGTTCTTTATTTTATTTTATTTTTGGTTCACTTTTGAGTGCCTTTTTTTCACTGGAAAAAAATAAAAAAACTGTGTATTTGAATAATGGGGTTTATTTTTTTCTAAACTGTCTATGTTGATGTTGCAGGTTAAGATGGAAAACAGGACATGGAAAGTGGATGTAAGTTTCGTTGTTTTTTTTAATGTGTTCTTGTTCTTTATTTTGTTGTGGCTTATCAGAAGTCCTCTTCTCTTATTATATTATAATGGTTTAGGAGTTTTTATGATTTTAATGGTACCCTTTGTAATTAATTAGTGGCCACTAATTGCTAAGAGGTAGGTAGTACCTGAGAAACCTTCTTGATCTCAACATATCACTGACATGTTTACAAAGTGTTATACATATGAAAAGACAGAAGAAATGTTTTTGTTGAGAAAGAAAATTCCATCAGAGGGGCTGGTTTTGACACAAATATTCATTTAACTATAGGACATGGCTTAGATAGTAATGAATGCCTTCAATTTAACATCCACAAACATTTGTTAGATTCTTTTCCTTTTGAAATATCTCGCGTTTGAATATGCCAGTATCACGTGTACTCCTTAAAGAAGCACAGCACTTGTTCAACTTTGTGTTTTTATCCTCTGTGCGGCTACTGAGGCATAAGCTTGAATTGTGTTCCGATGGATTTGTTATTTATAGTAAACTGAATCATTGGTGTTTTATTTTTATTTTAATGTACTTAAGAATTGGTTTCAGGCTGGGAGTAGATCTATTGATTTAGAGCTGACGACATTAGCAAGTGCCAACCACATTGAAATGAGTCCAAGTGATGCTGGTTTCCAAGACAGATACGTTGTCCAAGAAATAATCAAAGAAATGGCTAAGAATAGACCCATTGATACTAAGGGGAAGAAAGGATTTAAAGGTAACTGTCTGTCTTTGTTTCTAACCTTTACACGAGTGTCATTTTAAGCAAATAGAAAAAAGCGTCTTTGCATGGTTGAAAGTTATTTTGGAGTTTTTTGCCGATCTAAGTGCTATCCTTCAATTCTTATCTGTGCTGTGAAACATTTTCTCTTTGATTGTGTAGATTGCTTATGTAATGTGGTCCTCTTCTGTTTTTGTCTCCATTTATTTATGCCTATCTCAAATAAAAATAACCAACCTCTCCTCCTTGGCATGTACAATAAATGCGATGACTAGAAGCATTCGCCTTTACCTTTCTTTTCTTTTTTTTAGTGATTTTAGCAAGCTGATATTTGATTTTATTCCACATATCAGTTCTCGTGCTCAATGATGTTGACAAACTCTCTAGAGAAGCCCAACATTCTCTCCGCCGAACCATGGAAAAATACAGCTCTTATTGCAGATTAATTCTATGTTGCAATAGTTCTTCAAGAGTTACAGAAGCAATCCGCTCTCGTTGTCTAAATGTTCGAATAAACGCACCAAGTGAACAACAGGTTAGAAAATTTTAACATATACCACAATTGACCAAGAAAGAAAGAAAGAAATATGTTCCTTTTTTTTAAGTTTCTACAAGAAAAGCAATTTTTCAGCATTGAGACAATATTCTTTCTCCAACAGGGTTGTGAACAGTAAGTAGTTTCATTGTTTTCCATAGTATTATTTTGCTTGGTAGTCAGTTCCCGTAGATGAATGATGTTCTACTAGGTGACTTGCTGCTGTTGCAGGTTAGGTTCATAGTTTTTTTCTTGTTACACATTATTCCTTTTCAACATATAGATGATATGTTGATTATGAAAGTTGGAAAGGAAATTTGAGTTTTAGAGTATAGAATGATTTTGTAGATATGATGAGGGACAGCAATATTGACTTTGGCAACTATCTCTATAATTACTTTTTGAAGCTTTGGTGGCAAGTTCTATACTAAGAATTTTACATATGCATTATTGTCAAATAATGCAAATATTTTTATAATATTTGAATTAGGTAAACAGAATATTATCTTATCCTTATCCCTAATACTCTTCCTCAAATTGGATCAAGGAGGCAACAAATGCCGAACTTGCAAACTAGAAAGATAAAAAAAAAATTTGCCTAATGTTTTACTTAAAAAAAAAAAATCTGCCTGCAAAACATAGTTAAAAAGACAACTCAGGGATGCGAGAGGCGTTAGAGATATAAACATTGTTAGAAAATTAACTCAGCAAAATGGCTAGAAGGACCATCTGCTTGAGGAATTGTTTGAAATATTACTTGGCCAAATAAGAAGACTTTGCTGGAATAACATAAGTTATGTTGTTTGCTAGAATAGCATCCGCAGGGATGTCCTTCACTGGAATAACTATTAGCGGGAACGCCCTGGCAAACAAATATATGCAGCAAGAATTAAAACTCCTCCAAATTCATCAAGAACAACATTTGTAAGTTTATAAAGTAGGCAACAATGGAAACAAATGGGCTTTGTTGAAGAAAGTTAAAGGGCCACTGGAAAACAAATGGTACGGGATGTTGGGAAAAAGGTGATGTAGAGCTCCGAACTTTAGGGAACTCTACAGTGAAAAAGTGACAGAAAGGTCACGGAGGATGAAACCACTCTAATACCATATCATAAAATCTATGGAATTAAAGTTAATTTCTTTATTGGAGAGGTGTCTATGTATAGACGCACAAATACAGATTTATCTAATTCTGAATCTGTTTATCTAATTCTAATATTATCTTATCCTTATCCCCAATGGATTAAATGTATTTATCAATTTGTATTTGTGCGTCTATTTATTGACACCGCTCCAACAATGAAATTATTTTGATTCCATAGAATTTCTAATAATTTTCTTTGGTAATCATTATGATTAGGTTTATCTTGTCTCTAAAGATGTTCTTGTTTTTGCTCCCCTCTTGGTTTAAAGGGTATGCCAAAGGCATTCAAAGGTTTCTAAACTTTATGATATAGTATGCAACAGATCAGCATCCACCAAAGGATACCATGTCACTGGACATTATTATATATCTTGATCTTGTCTAGCTTACTCGTCTGAATTGAATATTCATCTATTTTGAATCTTTTGAAATCTATGTGGCAGATTGTAGAAGTTTTAGAATTCATTGGTAAGAAAGAAGGGCTGCAACTTCCTTCTGGATTTGCTGCTCGCATAGCAGAGAAATCAAATCGGAATTTAAGGAGGGCCATATTATCATTTGAGGCTTGCCGTGTCCAACAGTAAGCTCCATAAGCTTCCCATTCGTTAGTTGATGGATTACCTTATATCTTCATCTCCTTTTCAAAGCTTTGCTTTAAAGGCAACCACTGACAGTATTGTCATATGTCACTTGTAGGTATCCCTTCACCGACAAACAAGCAATTCCCCCAATGGACTGGGAGGAATATATTTCTGAAATTGCATCTGACATAATGAACGAACAGAGCCCAAAAAGGTTTACTTTTGATACAATTTACTGTTGTCTGATCTTTGATGGTAAATAAAATGCTTTGTTGAACCTTGAAATCGATCATGTTTATGGATTGCCTGCTCAATTGTGTTAGTCAATTAATCTCATGTTTTAGTTACTTGTTTAGTTATCTGAGTGGCTTATGTATTTTGCAATTCATCTTTCATCTCTCCGTATCATATGCCTTAGGTTGTTTCAAGTTCGAGGAAAGCTGTATGAGCTGCTAGTCAATTGCATTCCTCCAGAGATCATTTTGAAGGTAAATGTGTTCCTTTACAATGTCCCCTTCAAATGTTATTTTTTTCAATACTTGACTTTGATGTATATTTGTTGACTCAGAGGCTTCTTTATGAGCTATTAAGGAAACTGGATGCAGAACTAAAGCATGAAGTTTGCCATTGGGCTGCATATTATGTAAGTGCATTATCAATATTATATTTCATATCAGCAACTGGAATTCATATGGTAGTCTTAAGCATGAGTTCAGGTCTGGTGTGTTTCTTTTCCCTATTTTTTAGCTTGAGCAAGGATTCTTCTGTGGTTATGCAGTGCCTTTTGTGTTAGCTCGGAATTAGGATAGTTGGAAGGTTTTATCTAGCCCTTTTTCCTTATTTTTCAAAGTAAGGAGTCCCTGATTCTTCTTTCCCTTCATTGCACCAGGAACATAGGATGCGTCTTGGACAGAAGGCCATTTTTCACATCGAAGGTATTTTGATCTGAATGTGTGTGGTAGATAGATTGACAGTTATATCTTAATGAGCTTGAATGCTGATCATGGCAAATTCTTATACAGACCCTGTCTATATATATATATTTTGGACTCATTGGTCCATATCTGTTTAAAGCAATGGGTTTATACAAAGTAAATATAGATATATTGACAGTTATATATCTTGCTGACCATCTTTTTTTTTTACATGTTTAATTGGCAGCATTTGTGGCTAAGTTCATGAGCATATATAAATCTTTCCTCATTGCAACATTCGGCTGAAGTTCACATGATGGTTTGTTTTTGAGCTATTTCATGATACATGTTAAATGTATTATGTATTGGAAACAGCTTCATGCATAAGGGGAGTTTTTATATCTTGTCTACTGGAGGCTTTCCCATCGTGTATGCATACTGCAATTATCATGACAGAGTTTTGTTTTGGTTTGTAGAGGTGTTATGTTTTTATCAAATTGTGTGGACTTTGCATGGTGTTTGATTTCCCTACCCGTTCCTCTTCCCCGCTATCTCTAGATAGAAATGAATTGATAAAAAGAAGCTGATGCTCTTTTCTTTAAACATTTGGTATTTATCAATATAATTTTGGAAAGTTTATTTTGTATTGATTGACTTCATTTTTTAAATTTGACTAAAATCACGAATGAAATTTATGCACCAATGTAAATAATATTTTAAGCTGATATAAATTTTAGGTACCAAAACTACAATTTACTCCTGATATTAGACAATTTGTATTGTGTATATTAATCTGCCCAACCCTTGAGCTTTTGATGAATTTACCTGTTTTTACGATTGCAAGTAAGAGTCCAAGTTACCCCTTTTTTTGGTTGAAAAATTGTGCAGTTATATCTAAACATTTAAAACCTATTTAAGTTTTAACTAATACAAGCGACTTATCAATACACGATTTTAAAAAATGTCAACCGTAGAACATGTATACGTGAAGTTTTATTATAGTGAATGAATAATTTAAGATCTCCAATTGGTTATATAATATTATATCATATGGGTAACATATAAAGTTTACCTTTTAAAATACTTCACAGTCAAAAACCTTAATGTTATTACAAGTTGGTGCAAATTAGTGTTTCTTTTTTGTTAACAAATTTTTTTGTTGGACTAAAAATTTAATTCATGCGTACCATGGTCATAAACTTTTAAATTAATTCAAAATTGTTTTTGTAGGTATAATAACTCTTAACATTAACTATAAATACAATTTTAAAATAAATAAACATGTCATTAATTTAATTACATATTTTGTTTGAATTTTAAAATTTGATATGTAAGAACTATACAATAGTTATGTTTTGAAAGTTAAATTGGACAAAAATTGTTATACAAGTTTTGTTAATTAATTTGTCTAATACATTGATATCAATCTTCATTAGTTTAACTTTCTGTTCTTATCTCATTGACGAATTTGTGGCACAAAAATACATACTGAACCGGTTTTGTTATAGGTAAATTGCTAAGATACAAAGTAAAATTGCATTTTTTTTCATATATTGTTTTAATAGATTTCACTCATTCATTTTTGAATTTGTCTCTTTATCCTCTTCAAAAATTGCGACTCTCATAATATGAATACAATTTTCTTTAAAAGAAAACTATTTGTCCTTTTAAAGCACCGTGAATTTAGTTAAAATGACTGTTTTTTATTTAATATTTAAATTAAGATTTTTTTTTTACTTTTTTCCACTATAATATTTATGGTGTTACGGTTTCTCTCACTATAAAATACTATAATTTTGATTAAAATAAAATAATTTTATATTCTTTAAAATGACTAACGTTAATCTTCTTCTCTAAACATAACAAATCATGATATTTAGCTTGGGTAAAACTGCATTTTTTTCGTCAACTGGTTTATCCTTTAAACCACATTCGATTCGTGCACTTATTAAAGGTGCAAAATGCATTTTAACTATATGAAAGTTAAATACAATTGAATTGTTGACCCGTATCATGGCCCAAAACCCAGCATCAGTGATTGTGATCTACAAATGGACACGTGAAAAAGGCCAACCCAAATAAATGGTGGAATGAATGAGAAAAAGGCCCATTGAAGACACAAATTCCATAAAAAACCAATTCCAATGCTTCGTTGAATTTCGATGGCTGAAGAATCATCATCATCGCCATCGCCGCAAGCTCCTCCTCCTCCTCCTCCTCTGCAGTACGTGGAGGTGAATTGCAATAGCTCCGGCAAGACTCGGCGGTTCGCGACTGGAACCGATGCAGGATTCGCGGTGGCGGTCATAAATCGGAAAGGAGCAGTTCCGGTTGCTTCGCATATAGAAGCAATGAAGGATGGTGAAGAACCAATCGCTTTTGGTCCCAATTCGATTCTTTCCAATTTCGGTGAAGGTTGGAAGCTCCACACTGTCACCTTCTCAGATCTCGTTTCTTCAGGTATGTTAAACCAACACACCTTATTTTCAATCTCCTGTTAATTCTAAAAATTGTTAGATTTCGACGATACATGATATTAAGTAATAATTTTAATTTATGTAGTGTATATTATATTTAATATTCAATAATTTAATAAAAAATAAAACTAAACTTATAATATTCGTCAATTTTGCAAAGAAACATAAAATATCTCAAATATTAAACTCAATAAAATGGTAATCATAATCCAATAAATCTAATAGTTGAGACTAAAAACTCAACGCAACGCAACTCTCAAATTTTTTTTTTGAATTTCTATAACACGTATTGGAATGTTGGCGAGTGTCGAGAGATATCGGACACGACACGTCATTGTCATAGCTGTTATATATTGAAAGATTTAATTTTTCTTTTTGTTTGATATAAATGTTGCATACTTTTTTTGTTAAATGAATAATGAAAAATAGTATAATTAGTGAAGAATTCCGAAATTTGAGAGGTTGAGAGAATCTGAAGATTGTTTATTGATTCAGAAAGTGAATAATCTGATGCAACTTAGTCTGATACAGAGTACAGCTATTTATACAGATAACAGAACACAGTTAACAGAACTGAACTGAATAACTACTTCTGCTAACTAACTCGACAGAATCAGTTCGATTCTGCTAAGCTCCATGTCTGTGGGGAATTTCTTCAATACACGGGAATACCGAACTCGATGCTTTTATTAAATAGTATTTTTTTTTTCTATTTTAATCCCTGTTTTTTTTTATATTTTTCATTAAGTTCCAAAATTTTTCTCCTTTTATGTAGATGTAGGTACTCCCGCTTTTAGTATGGATGTAGGTACTCTCACTGTATCAAAGGTTTTCTCGCATTGCAGGATATGACCGACAGCATTTAGACCCAAATAAAAATGTTCAAACATTTTGCGAAAAAACCAATATTTATAAGCTATTCGTGATAAGAAAAAATGTTTGTCATTTGAAAGGATGATTATTTTAGTTAAAATTAGTTTTTTATTTGAAATTTAAATTAAATAAAAAGTCACTCACTTTCTTCCTCTCATGATTTTGATTCTGTATTTCTTTTTCTCAATTAAAAGGATAAGATTTTATATGTCCTTTAAAAAGATAAACACCAAACCCTTTATGATATCACTATATTATTTCTATGAATGTGTACAATATTAATAATTTTTTATTTATTTATCATCATTTAAAAGTTTCTGAATTATTGTTTGCAGAAGAAGAGAGAAAGGAACATGTTCGAAGGATGGTAATGCAGACACCAGGAATAGTAAGTTTACTTTCAAAAAAATTGAAAAGTTTAACTTTGTAACTTTTGTCCCATTTGCATAAACGCCATTTTCTTCAAGTACAGATATTATTTTTTCAAAAATTGTAAATTTATTTATAATTCTCCTTTTTATATTATTTCAACCCAGAAGCAATTTACTGAACTTATATTTAATTTAGTCGAATAAAACATTTACTATAATCACATTATTTGAAGATTGTAAACTTGACATCTAATTGTTTTTAAGTTGACAATTTTTTTTTTATCATTTCAAGGGCTGAGCTTATTTTCAATTTGTTGACTTTCTTTCTCCAGGTTTCGGGTGTCCCAGGTTCTGAAGGGTTCAAGCCAATTAGCCTTGTGTATATTGTTAAAATAATGTTTGCTTTTATTTTGCTTTTTGTACTTGGTGCAATTTTTACATTGTTTCTTGATAACCTTCCTGCATTGATATTGTTTGTTAAGTCAATAGTATAGTGCTTTTTTATTGCTTAAAAATTATATATGAATTAAATAAATGGCTCAACTTTATAGCCATTTTGTTAAGGACTCAAACTCAAACTACGAAGGCTCCATTACTTTGATCCTGGCAGAAACTGAACTGTGAGTGCAGTGCATGTCCCGCTTGTTACACTCTAGAAACAAATAGTACCATAAAAAACAACTTGATGTCTGTCTCTTCAACATTTCAACAATTTAATGTTTCATATTTAAGTTGCACTTAAAATGTCACAATCGCAAGATTGAGGTATTTGAAAGGGAATTTTGAACTGCAGAGATATTAATTTTCAAGGGGCCTGTTCAAGAGTGTGTCATGACGAAGATGCCAATTTGTGGGAACAGTCGTGGATTCAAAAACTTGGAGGCTGTTTCATCGGTGTGCAATGTGGGCATCATTCCAAAGGTAAAAGAACTGTTTTCCTGATGGCTCTATCTAATGGGGTAGAAGATTAACTCAAAACTCTCTGATGATGATGTGGCTGAAAATTTTCTCCAGATTTACATGCCCAGAAATTATGACCCAAAGAGGAATTCTCTGTTAAATCAGCATATATGGTATAGTCCCCCCCATCTCGCTTTTCTTAAAAGAAGTTAGAGAAAGCTTTTGATGGCCAATGTGAACCGAAGTCACAATTTTCTTGTGGAGATTAGAATGACTCATAAATGTCTCCCAAATTTTGGTGTTCTGGATATAGACACAACCGTGTCCTATTTCATGGATTGGAAAAAATGGAATAATATCCTGAGGTGTTGACACAAGTGGATATATTCTTAATAGATTTTAGGAAAAAATTACTCTTATGCAACATAAGAGTAGTTTTATATCAATCGAAAATCGTGACACTTTTTTTTCTTTTCTTTTTTTAAATGACGGGCCCACCACATGTGTGTCTACAACATGAGAGATCTTATCTCATACAACATGAGATTAGACGAAGTCTAGATTTTAATGCCAAAACCACCAGATTCATTCCTTAATCAGTTGCATGTGGGGAAAATTTAACTATTTCTGCAAACGCTGCTGTAGATTTGATATGATAGCATTACGAGAAGGATTCCGCCAGCCATTTTGAATAGGAAGGATTAAAAACAATTACAAGTCCCATCTCAAGGTGCATCAGTCTTATACAGGTAAGGATAAACCAGTAAGAGAGTCAAGAAAGGATATCAGTTAATATGGCTATCGATGGATGAGATAATTTCACGTAACACGGTTATGTTATTTGTGCTGAGATTTTTGGTTGTCCCAATTTCTCTTTTGCGACCAAGTAAGTTACAGATCTGGGAGCAGGAATCATCCAAGTTTCTCATCTTGGGTGATCTGCTATTGCTTCTCTTCTTTTTGCTATGTTTGGTTGATTCAGCATATGCTATCGTGCTGGGTTTTTCTTCTCTCCATTTGAATGTCTTAAGTTGCTGATCAAGGTTGATGCAGTTTTGAGTTTCGTATTAAATATGGAAGAAGAAGTTGCTTAGTGAAGAGAAAGTTTAGTAATCTATCTTTTACTATTAGTGGGATTGTTGTTTAAAGATTATGGATACTTGTAATGGATCCTATTTGTGTTACTGGGGGGTATCATACTGGATTCTGTGCTTTAGAGACTTAGTTGGAAGTGCTATTAGGAGGTGGTATCATACTCTGGAAATAATTTTGGGACTTTAGGGTCCAAGAGTGAAACGCACCGTTACGTTTAAAAATAAGGACCAAGTTTTGTTTTAAAGCTTAGAATGTATAACAACTCGTATCAATTACTCGTATTTCAACTAAAAGCAAACCTCAGCAACACAAAACTACCAACACAATAAGCACAAAACTTCATAGCAGTATCAATTACTCTGAATACATTTTGAAATTGGTGACAGGGTAGCAAGAAAATGTTATTTGAGTGCATAAAGATGCACTTAAATCACATTCCATTTTTTATTTTTTATTTATTTTTTAGCTTACTATTGTGCAGAAAAAGCAGAAACCTAGGAGATACTACAAATTGATAGCGTCTACTGCCGAACATATCGGTTTAGATTTCAATATCATCAACATTCAATATAAGTGTTTCGTTCACATTTAAGAACAAAACTGTTGTAGAAATATTCCAAGAAATCATTGTTTTTTAGAAAAAAAAAAAAGAAATCTACAAGAAAACACCAGCAATCGCCCTGGAGCTTTGTAATGACTTTCCCTGATTCATAATCAAATATTGAGGCTAAAGGGGCATTCTATGTAAACTGCTATAGAATAAAGTTACCAATACCTAACTCCACATTTGTAACAGCTTATCTGATGGTTACAGCACCCTCTATAGACTTCCTGTTCATCCCTCTAACAAGATCAAATCCCTGGTGGTTTTTACACAAAAATGAAAGAAGGCTACGGTAATGATCCACAGGAACCTAGATTTAAAAAAATATGTTCTCTTGTGATGATGCAAAGTAGAGAAGCTTTGATTTACACTGCTGATCCGCATAGGGCAATTACTGCAACAGTAAACAGATGCCAAGATGTTGATTAACCATAACAGGCTATGAAATTGGACATGAGAGGCATTTAGCTGAAACGAGTAATGAAGTAGCAATCCTGGTCAAGCCTATTTTGAAACTAAAACATTAGAGTTCAGGAATGCAAGGCGGTTCTTGGTTAAAGTGATCTTCTCTTCTGCTTCTGCTGCTTTTTCTTGCACCCCACGGACCACGTCTTCTGGGGCCTTCTCTACAAACTGCAGAACGTAATAAGTGGTCATTTGCACAGATTTCTTTTGTGCATACAATCCAGAAGAATTCTACATACTATTCTAGTGTAGTGCAAAATAAAGATAGACACCTCGCAATCCAGTCATCTTGCTAACTACCAAAAATACACCATTTAATGAATGATAATGCTGACAAGATCTCAAAACCAAAGAAAATTTAAAAAGACAATAGAATGAAAATCAGAGTGGAAAGGTTTTATAATTTTAACTATTTATAAGAAACATATGAAGTCTTAAGAGAAGAAACCAATTAGTATTGAGAACAGCAACAACCCTAAATCCAAGATATTTTGGGCCAGCTACTTAAATTTCAATTCATATTAATGGGCATCTACCAGATGAATTTATCTTTCACCAATTGACCCCATCTGCAGATATATCATCTATAATAATACTCCTTATTCCCAGGAATAGTTTGCAATGCAAACAACAAGTAGCTGCAACTAGGTATAATTAGCTGTGGGTCTGTCGGTGCATTGAATTCCTATGGCTTCACAAGCTGATTTTAATACTTAAACAGCATAAATGGACCATGGAACAAGGAATGGTTTGTGCACATTTATACAGTCTAGAAGGTAAGAAATATATTATTTCATACTTTAGGAGAATTGAGTTTAGCTATCAATCCATCATACTCCTTCTGCATCTTGGAAAGGCGCTTTGAAAGACGTTGAACTTCTGCAGAAATATCAACCATATCGGCCAGAGGGAGATATGCCTCTAGTCCTTCACCAGCCACAAGATGAACTGAATGATCTGCATCTCCTGCATATTACATGACATCAACCAAAGAATTGATTTAGGGATCGGTACTTAATTGGAACCAATAAACAATTGACATGGGAAAAATAAAAAATGCAAATGTAATTTCAGTCTTCAACAAGGGAGCACAAACTGTAGTAGAAATCATGCCTGGTGAAGTATCGGTAAAATGCAGATTTTGTAAATCTAGCCGAGAGAGAAGTGCTAAAACCTCTCTTTCTTCCTGATGAAGCAAAAGGTACAGCATAATGTTACTTAGAAAATCCCAAGAACAAAAGTATAAGTTTAAAATCTAAGAATTCCATCAACGGTCACAATTCATGTATCGTGTGCAACAACAGATAATGTTATATTCTACAAATACCAAGACGACGTTGTTTTGGGGTTGTCGGAGATAAATTCATTTGTTGCAACAAGAGAAATAATTAACCCTGTAGTATATTTTGTGTGTGTGTATATCGAAAGCACACATAGTACAATTTATTTAAAAAAACACTCCCCATCATACCCCAACTAGCGAGGGTGAGGTGAGGGTAATCATTGTATGCAACCTTACTCTTACATATTTGTAAAGAGATCGTTTATCATATTCTAAACTTAGTAGAATTTATAGATTAAAAAAAAAAAGACAATGACAAATAAAAATAAAACTGCAATTCAAAGTAAGGCATGATTAGTTTCATTTTACCAAACATTGAGAAATGAGGATTAAACCCAAACTTACAGCAATATATTCAATGACTTCATTGCTTGCAACCACAGATGCTGATATCCGCTTTGCAGGCTCAACAGAATATTCTGCACGAGCATTCCGGATAGCCCTAACCTAAGTCAGAAAAAAATTAAAAAAAGAAAGATAAAATAGCTGCCATCGTTCTGTAACAACAGTGTGATGACTTTAAATGAATCATGTTATGTAGCAGTGTTAAATAGGATAAGAGAAGAAAATAAAGATAGAATCGCACCAAAGCTTGCAAATTTTCAAACTTTTTTATAGAGCTTATGTTCCTTGGAAGTTGAGTCTCTGGCCAAGGTGACACAATAAGGGCTTGCTTCCGGTTAGGGAGTGCCTGTTGATAAAACAAAGAAATCAGAACTTCAAAAAAACTTGATTCATAGAGTCACTGAACTTGAAAGAGTATTGAGATAGAATATGTTTTCGTGCATTGTTCTGCTGCTACTGCTTTATGGAATATTTCGTTGGTCTTTTGGGGAATGTTGGGTGTGCCCTAAGACCTTGGACCAGCTTCTGTTGACCAGTTTTACTGGTTTTGGTAAAGAAGCCAATGTTTTGTGGAGATGAGCAAAAATTATTACATTTTGGTGCGTTTTGGCGGAGACTCACATTTTTTAGGATATCTATTCAGATAAGCAGTTGCTTTGGGACAAGATTAGGCATTTGGCTTCCATATGGTGTAAAGCACAATGCCTTTTTAAAGGGGTGTGCCTCACACATATGAAGGACTGGGTAGCTTTACTATATTGATGTCTCTGTTCCTTCTTGTATACTTTTTCTTCTCTTTTTTAACGAGGATTTCATATCCCCTTAGTAATTTTCTTCTGTCTTAACAAATTTCTTCTTTATAAAAAATATAGAGATAGAACACCAGTTATACATAAATTAAGAATGATCATAAACGATTAATCAGAAAGTACATAACAATTTGGACACTAATGCATTAAATGGAGACAGAAAACAACTAAGAGCCTGTCTGGATTCTCTTATATTTAAGCTAGAAGCTACTTATAAGCTAAAGCTAAAAAAAAGAGCTTAAATAAAAGTTTTAGCTTAAAAGTTACTTAAAAACACATATTTCAATAAAATTATTTCTCTCTCTATCTTTATAACTCTTCATTTTAAAAAAAAGCACACAATTCAAGAAAAGCAGATAAGAGCTTAAAAAAAAGCTCCTCTTAGGAGCTTTTAGCTTTCAGCTTTTTTCTTCATTATAAAAAAAAGAGTTTTTCCCAAAACCTGTTTAGCCTAACTTATGCATATAAGTAGCTTCTAGCTTAAAAAAGAGAGGATCCAAACAGGCACTAAGAACCCTAACTGAGATTGTGGGAAGCCTAGGTCGTCTTTCTTATTCTATCTCCATCTTAAGTTTCTTCAGATCCAATTCCATTCATATTTTGTTTATTTGGCAGACACCATAGGTTGATTCAAAGACAAAGACTTTAAATCATCATCCTCCTACATATTTTCCCTAGAAAGTCCCATCAAACTTGCAACAACAAATTGCAGGAACATTGAAAAGCATCCCTAGACATCTGTTCGTGCTGCACTATATAGATTCTGCATCACATTACCTGCCATAGCTCCTCAGTTACAAATGGCATGAAAGGATGCAGAACTTTGAGTATGTTCTCAAAAGTATACAATAGAACTGCCTGTGCCACAGAAGCAACTGAGTTTCCTTCAGTTTCAGAGTGGTAAAGCCGCCCTTTGCTAGCCTCAATGTACCTTCAGATAGTAAGGAGGGGAAAAGATCAGAGAGCATTACTCATGATCAAGGCAAAGAAGACCCGCAAAAAACACCATATAGAAACATTTGGCATGTGTTAAAAAAATTATTAAGATCTTTGTGACATACGCATGAAAAACTATTATTATAGAAGCAACATACCAATCGGCAAAATCAGCCCAAAAGAAATCATATGTTTCTCTTCCCACTTCTCCAAAGTAAAATTTGTCATAGCTTGCACTGACAGATTCAATGAGCAAGTGAAGTTTTGACACCTAAAAAATTAAATAAAATTATCACACAGCTATGTAAAATTAGCAACATAAAAATCTAAAAACAAAATTGCCTTACCACCCAACACTCTGGTAAAGGAAGATTAAGTACTGAGCCTTCATTGTCAAACTGAACACACAAAAAAAAGTTTTAGTTAAGAGACTGTTGGACCAGTATTAACTAAACGTCAGTTAAACTAGAATAAATTGAAGTGCCAGTATCAATTTGAATTTCTATGCAAAAATGAGTTAGCTGCCTCTTTTGCCCAGTACAACAAATAGCCCAACATGACCCAACTTTAAACTATGCTAGTAATTATAAGTTGCCAAACTTGGAACTGCAGTTTATTATTTGTTTTACTTTCACATGTCCGGTGAGTTACTGCTAACATTCGCTTCATAATTTTCAAA